TTTTAATTTTAGTTTAATGTATGTTTAATGTATGTTTTGTATTTTGTATGCTACTGGATACTTGAATTTCCCTCGGGATAAATAAAGTATCTATCTATCTAGTTTTATTATGTCGAAAATAAACGGTGGTGACTACAATTCCCATAGGACATTGCGGTTTTTGTCTTCCTGTCGATGACGTATTTTTTGGCGCACCACGCCTGGCTCCAGCAGTGGTGTGTTGTGGTCAACGAACCTCTAAACGCTCACAGATAAAGAGATAAAGGTAATATATATATATGTGTCATTTTATTTTAATTAAATATCCGTTTGATACGTATAGTTCCGGCTCCGTTGGTCACGTGTTCGCTCATATTTCGGAGAGGAAGTGGAAACAAGTCGCTCCATGTTTTGTTACTCCGGGCGTTAACGACCCGCTGGGAGCTTTACAGCCCGAGTTCATGCTCATTTGTCCTCCTTCGTGCTCATTTGTCCTCCTTCGTGCTCATTTGTCCTCCTTCGTGCACTCAGGTGTCCCTCACGGATGTCTCAACAAGCACCGCAGCCGGTTCCCTCCGCCCCGGACTCCCCCGCGCTGCTGGTCACCAGCAACGTGCAGAAATATGCCATCAAGAAAAAGAAAGTCCTGAGTGCGGAGGAAACGGAGCTGTTTGAACTGACCCAGGCTGCAGGGGTCACTGTGGACCAGGAGGTCTTCAAGTGAGTCTGATGCCACCTCGAGTACCGTTTTGGGGTGTTTTTATTTGTGGTTTTTTAGTCTTCTGAGGCAGTAAACTGAATATATTTGGGTTGTGGACCAAACAAAGCGTTTGAGGATGTTATCCTGGGCTTTGGGGAACAGTTTAATGACATTGTGTGGACCAAACAACTAATATATTTATCAGGGCTGGCCACATTTAATATGCAAATTGCAAGAGCTGTAATGTTTTAAATAAAAGGTAAAATGAAAACAGAACAGCATTATAATAAAGTGATGTAGTGCTCATGACTTTAATAGTTAATAGTTCATTGTGTGATCTTTCCCACATAATCGTGAAACGCAATATCTGTCACAATAATCACAATATGATGTGTTTACAGTATCGTGCAGCCGTAATATAAATCGAGAAAGTTACTGACAGATGAATAGATAATAATAACCGTTAGCCCCAGGTAGTAAAAGGCTTTGCTTGAGTTTTTCTCAGAGCAAAACGTTGTGATCTTTGTTATTTAAAACATATAATAGGCTTATAAAATGAATAAGTTAATGTTTAAACCAGTGGTTTCCAGACTCTTTGGTTTCCACCAATGAGACATTTCTCCTC